GTAAGGAGAAGATCTTCTACTCAACAATAGACAGCATAGACAAGCAGTGGGGGCACTTTTATAGGTTGCAACCAACATACATCCAGATATAGGAGCTGCCATGTCACTTCTATGCAGATGTATAAGTATACTGCAGCAAAGGGACTGGAATGCAATTAAGAGTCATGCAGTAACTAAAACAGACTCAAATAATGAACCTGACATTATCTGAAAATGTCATTTTAGAACTCATAAGATATGTGGATTGGGCAGGTGCTTCCAGTACAAGTAGTTACATGTTCCAACTTGGCAATAGCCTAATATCATGGTCCAGGAAAAAGAAAGTCTCAGTGGCATTATCTACTACAGAAGCTGAATACAACATGGCAGCTTATGCTTGTCAAGTAGTCATTTGGTTGCAGTAGCTACTTGCTACAGAAGTCACCATAAGCCCCCAAATTCCAGCTTTGTAAATGTGGAGTGTACCAATGTCCATAAGATGTATTTAATGCTTAGTGTTTTGTCATGTAATGTATGTTTGTACTTGTTAGGCCTCTTTCACAAGAGCGTTTTGATCGGGTACCCCTGTCCGTTTTTCAAACAGATCTGATTGGAACCTCCATTCTCCTCGGTCCATTTACTCCCACCTACATCCAATCCAAGCTGCTAAAAACATATGGGTATAAACAGATAAGCAGTCAGTTTACTTCCAACCACCCACAGAGGAGAGCAGGCTGTGCCTTTGTCTGCTCTGCATAAGCAGAGCTGATATGGACTTGTCATCCGCCTGCTCTGTGGCGGGGATCAGTAGATAGATCCCCTGCTGGGCAACTGGATCATGGGTGGAGTCTGCACCATGTGAAAGGAGGCCTAAATCCTTCAACGAAAGAACATACTATTTCAGAAACAGAAACTACTATACTGTGTACTATACACTCATAATGCTTTTAGAACATTAATAAATGAATTTTATGAACAGGAATACTGTACATAATATATATTGTTTAAATCAGGGGTCTCCAAATTTTTTGGTTTACTGTCCTTCAGGCTTTAGGGGGCCAGACTGTGACCAGTGTGAGTAGAACATGTCCCCGCATCAATGGAATCAAACGATCATTGGTTTTAACAGGAGGAATGGTGCCCCATTGTTGGTTTTAGCAGGAGGAATAGTGCATCAGGGTTGGTATCAATGGGGGAATAGTGGTTCATCATTGGTGTCAGTGGGAAGAATAGTGCCCCATTAATGGTGTCAGTGAGAGGATTGTAGCCCATCATTGCTGTCAGTTGGAGGAATACTGTCCCAAGGTCTGGAAAGAGGCAAGCAAAGGGCTGCATATGGCCCCCCAGCCACATTTTGGAGATTACTGGTTTAAAAGGTTAGTTGACTCAGAACTGATACTTTTGTTTTTGATAGATGCTGAAAAGTTAAGTCATCTGCAGTTCCTGGGTCTCCACACCTGCTGTGGCCATTAAGATGAGCTCCTGGATGATTTTTTTAACTTCTGTTTTGTAGATAGTGCAATAGGTAGTGCAAGGAAATTGCAAAGGTGGATGGAAAGCCTCAATACTCCCATGTGGGTGGAAAGCCTCAATACTCCCAGGTGGACAAAAACAAAAACTACATCCAATTTTTTGGAAATTTTGGAATTTTTGGATTTTGGAACTCAGAGGTAGGCTCAGCTTACTAGACTCACTAGACTCCAATGGATATTAACAAAAAGCTAGGAATAATTCATTAAGAACCTTCCATCTAGCTCACTGTGTCTCCTTACAAAAACTCATTTGCCCAGTCTAATCATGTCCACAGATGCCGAAAAGGTGTTTGACAGGATAGACTGGGTATTTCTAGAGGAGATCTTGATTACCTTGGATCTTGGGCCGAAAATGTTGGGCTGGCTTATTGCCTTGTATGGAAAAGCTTTGGCCAGGGTCAAGGTTAATGGTATCCTCTCTCCTTCTTTTGGAATAAAAAAATGGCACTCAGCAGGAGTGTCCATTCTCACCCTTGCTGTTTGCCTTGGTTAGAGAAGCGCTGTTGTGAAAAGTTATAGAGAACTATAGTATCCACAGGTTTAAAGTAGGCCCTGTGGAGCATACATTTTCCACATATGCAGATAATATCTTATATTATATCTCTGATCCATTAATAATGTTGCCCAACTTAATGGCGGACCTAAAAGGATTTAGGGCTCTGTCGAATTTTAAAATACTTTACAGTAAATCCAAAATCTTGCCGTTATATTTACCCCAAACTATAGAGGATCTTCTTAAACAATTTTTTTCTTTTACATGGAATAAACGATTTATTAAGTATTTGGGAATCAACTTGACAGCAGATCCATCTAAGGTACAGTATATGAAGAAAATTATATTCTGTTTGTACAAAGAATTAAATGAAATCTAGCAGACTTTGATAGTGCTGCCTTTTCCTGATTAGGAAGAATTAACATTCTAAAGATGGGTTTGCTGCCAAAAATGTTATTTACTATGCAGATGATACCTATCTAACTCCCAAACTCATTTTTTGTCAACGTTTGACGGATTTTCACTGATTTTGTTTGGCCAAACCAAGGTTAGCGTACCACATTTTCACAAGGCTTAAACCAGATGGGGGGCTGGGTCACCCCAACCTGAGGAACTACTTTAAGGCAATTGCCTTAACTAGAATCCTCATTTGTAGACACCATACCACTCAAAAGGCCTGGGTAGCTTTGAAGGGGACACTGACGGGCTGCGATTTGGATCATGCCCCTTGGGTTCCATACCTATATAGAGGTTTTTCTAACTCTATTTCTTTTCTCGCAACCCACACTTTAAATCTCTGGGATTTAACTAATAAACAAAGAGCCCTCTCTCCATCATTCTCTCCACTATTACCGTTGGGTGGGTTCTGTTGGTTACCCCGCGCAAGTCATTGTCTTTTTTTAGATTTTGAGTGACTGTTGAAGACACCAGCAGCCTTAAGTTTTTATGCAGGGAAATTGTGGGAATAATGGGAAATTGTGCCCATTGGGGGATCTCAGGGAGGTATATGGTGAATTCCCAATGGACACCTGGAGATAACAGCAATTGCAACACTTTTGTACTGTTCATCTACAGCGTATTAGAACGGTTGAATTCCTTGCTGGCACAAACAGCCCATCGACGTAGATCTGTTTCTATTTCTAATAAATTGCTGAATAAATGTGATGTCACCACAGGTCTCAGATTTCTTAGGGAATGGGAAACAGAGTTAGATCGCCCCTTTACTGAAATGTAATATGTTAGACTGACACATACCTCTTTGATATGTACCAAAATACAGGCTAATTATAAACTCATGTCCATGTGGTATAGAATCCCGAAGATGTTGGATGTTGCATACCCCTCAGTCTCGGATAGGTGCTGGCGGGGCTTTGGGCTACAGGGATCCCATTCCCTGATTTGGTGGGAGTATCCCAGGATTGGTCCGTTCTGGGCTGAGCTGAAGAATTTAATATCTGAAATTACAATGGTCTCTATTCATGATGACCCTGTACAGTACCTTTTTCATGGCACTTTAAGTTCCATAAGGGCACATAAGAAGAGTATAGTCCCCTACCTGTTAGATACAGCTAAGGGGCTAATTCCAGTCTTTTGGAAAAAGTCACAGATGCCCATAGAACACTGGGTAAACCAAGTTAATGAAATCATGGAAGATGAAAAATGGATGTATTTTTATACAGTACAAATAGACCGGAAGAGTTTCAAGCTAAATGGGAACCCTGGATCAATCACATAAATAAATAGCACAAAGAATAAGAGCTAAATAGTCACTTATCCCATGAATGGGAAGCAATTTTAACTTCTGCTTATTACATACTTAATAATGTGTGTTTTTTTTCTAGGATGTATTAATAGTTATATGTTTTGTGATGTAGGTAATGACTAGAGATGAGCGAATTATTCAAAAATTCGATTCGGCTGATTCGGCGAATTCGCGGAATAAATTTGATTCGAGTCGAATATATTCGCTGCGAATTTAACTTATAAAAAGGGTGTTTCTAGGCTTCAGAGAGCCTTTATATTAGTGCAGAACACTGTACCTTTAATTTAAATGCCCTTGGAGTCTGCTGGGGAAGAGAAATAATACTGTCAGTCAGTATGACATGCAGATGAGTGCCGTCGATCTTAGAATCACCGCACACTTCACTCATTTGGGCAGTCACGGGGCCAAAACCAGAGCGTGGAGCCACAGTGTGGCGGTGGAGGCAGCAGCAATGGGAGGCCATACAGCACCCTATGACAAAATGGAACCCACCAGCAGTGTGAGGAGACCTGAAAGTGGCACATGGCAGAGTGTGGCGATGGAGACAGCAGCAATGGGAGGCCGTACAGGGACCCATGACACACTCTGGACCTGGCAGCAGCAAGAGGAGGCGGTACAGGGGCCCATGGCAGATTACGGGCCTGGCAGCAGCAATGGGAGGCCGTACAGGGACCCATGACACACTCTGGACCTGGCAGCAGCATGAGGAGGTGGTACAGGGGCCCATGACAGATTACGGGCCTGGCAGCAGCATGAGGAGTCGGTACGGGGGCCCATGGCAGATTACGGGCCTGGCAGCAGCAATGGGAGGCCGTACAGGGACCCATGACACACTCTGGACCTGGCAGCAGCATGAGGAGGCGGTACAGGGGCCCATGACAGATTACGGGCCTGGCAGCAGCATGAGGAGTCGGTACGGGGGCCCATGGCAGATTACGGGCCTGGCAGCAGCAATGGGAGGCCCGTAATCTGCCAGCACCCTATGACAAAATGGAACCCACCAGCAGTGTGAGGAGACCTGAAAGTGGCACATGGCAGAGTGTGGCGATGGAGACAGCAGCAATGGGAGGCCGTACAGGGACCCATGACACACTCTGGACCTGGCAGCAGCATGAGGAGGCGGTACAGGGGCCCATGACAGATTACGGGCCTGGCAGCAGCAATGGGAGGCCCGTAATCTGCCAGCACCCTATGACAAAATGGAACCCACCAGCAGTGTGAGGAGACCTGAAAGTGGCACATGGCAGAGTGTGGCGATGGAGACAGCAGCAATGGGAGGCCGTACAGGGACCCATGACACACTCTGGACCTGGCAGCAGCATGAGGAGGCGGTACATTGGCCCATGACAGATTACGGGCCTGGCAGCAGCATGAGGAGTTGGTACGGGGGCCCATGGCAGATTATGGGCCTGGCAGCAGCAATGGGAGGCCCGTAATCTGCCAGCACCCTATGACAAAATGGAACCCACCAGCAGTGTGAGGAGACCTGAAAGTGGCACATGGCAGAGTGTGGCGATGGAGACAGCAGCAATGGGAGGCCGTACAGGGACCCATGACACACTCTGGACCTGGCAGCAGCATGAGGAGGCGGTACAGGGGCCCATGACAGATTACGGGCCTGGCAGCAGCAATGGGAGGCCCGTAATCTGCCAGCACCCTATGACAAATGGAACCCACCAGCAGTGTGAGGAGACCTGAAAGTGGCACATGGCAGAGTGTGGCGATGGAGACAGCAGCAATGGGAGGCCGTACAGGGACCCATGACACACTCTGGACCTGGCAGCAGCATGAGGAGGGCGGTACAGGGGCCCATGACAGATTACGGGCCTGGCAGCAGCATGAGGAGTCGGTACGGGGGCCCATGGCAGATTACGGGCCTGGCAGATGACGACGAGGCTGCCAAGTGCGATCAGCCTCATCATCATCAATTAGGGTCTCCGCCTCACTACTAGCCCCCTCGGATGCGTGTGGGTCAGGAGACAGACCTGTCTCTAGACCGGCTACCGAGCCACTCTCCTCGCCACTACTTCTTCGCCTGGCTGCTGAAGAGGCGGATGTCTCCCCCCCGTTCCTGACCGCCCTCTGTTAGCTCTTCCTCACTGTACAGTGGGGCTGAGCCCACAGCATGCGATACTTCGCTTGGTGAGGGAACACCAAAGGACAGGGGCAGGTAGAGGACACGTGATTTCAGTGGGCTTGCTCCCGGGCCATGCCAACTAACGGTTGTGTCTGACGTACCCACCGACCGTTGGCTGTAGGTGTCAGAGGTGACCTGGGAAGAGGAAGACGACCGAGCCAACCAATCGATGACGGCAGGGTTGTCGGTGGAGACACGACCGCTGGATGACACCGGGAGCACTGGCCTCTGGCTGCGACTAGTGCTGCCTCGACCCCTTCCTCTGCTGCCACGTCTGCTCGCTCCTGAAAATATTGCCTCCTCTGCCACTCCTCTGCGTGTTGTCTGACATACTCTTTAATTCAACGATTCTGTGTCCCTGAGTAACGATTCTGTGTCCCTGAGTAACAATTCTGTGTCCCTGAGTAACGATTCTGTGTCCCTGAGTAACGATTCTGTGTCCCTCAGTAACAATTCTGTGTCCCTGAGTAACAATTCTGTGTCCCTGAGTAACAATTCTGTGTCCCTGAGTAACAATTCTGTGTCTGTCCCTGAGTAACAATTCTGTGTCCCTGAGTAACAATTCTGTGTCCCTGAGTAAGAATTCTGTGTCCCTGAGTAAGAATTCTGTGTCTGTCCCTGAGTAACAATTCTGTGTCTGTCCCTGAGTAACAATTCTGTGTCCCTCAGTAACGATTCTGTGTCCCTCAGTAACAATTCTGTGTCCCTGAGTAACAATTCTGTGTCCCTGAGTAACAATTCTGTGTCCCTGAGTAACAATTCTGTGTCCCTCAGTAACAACTCTGTGTCCCTCAGTAACAATTCTGTGTCCCTGAGTAACGATTCTGTGTCCCTGAGTAACGACTCTGTGTCCCTGAGTAACGATTCTGTGTCCCTGAGTAACGATTCTGTGTCCCTGAGTAACGATTCTGTGTCCCTGAGTAACGATTCTGTGTCCCTGAGTAACGATTCTGTGTCCCTGAGTAACAATTCTGTGTCTGTCCCTGAGTAACAATTCTGTGTCTGTCCCTGAGTAACAATTCTGTGTCCCCGAGTAACAATTCTGTGTCTGTCCTGAGTAACAATTCTGTGTCCCTGAGTAACGATTCTGTGTCCCTGAGTAACGATTCTGTGTCCCTGAGTAACAATTCTGTGTCTCTGAGTAACAATTCTGTGTCCCTGAGTAACGATTCTGTGTCCCTCAGTAACAATTCTGTGTCCCTGAGTAACAATTCTGTGTCTGTCCCTCAGTAACAATTCTGTGTCCCTCAGTAACAATTCTGTGTCCCTGAGTAACAATTCTGTGTCCCTGAGTAACAATTATGTGTCCCTCAGTAACAATTCTGTGTCCCTGAGTAACAATTCTGTGTCTGTCCCTCAGTAACAATTCTGTGTCCCTGAGTAACAATTATGTGTCCCTGAGTAACAATTCTGTGTCCCTGAGTAACAATTATGTGTCCCTCAGTAACAATTCTGTTTCCCTGAGTAACAATTCTGTGTCTGTCCCTGAGTAACGATTCTGTGTCCCTGAGTAAAAATTCTGTGTCCCTGAGTAACAATTCTGTGTCTGTCCCTGAGTAACAATTCTGTGTCCCTGAGTAACAATTCTGTGTCCCTGAGTAACGATTCTGTGTCCCTAAGTAACGATTCTGTGGCCCTAAGTAACGATTCTGTGGCCCTAAAGTCTCTCTGGCCCTAACTCTGTCCCTAATACAGACAGGTCTGTCTCTCTTGAATGACCGGAGGCTAATGGAGAATTGTAAGATGGCCACAATTTATAGCTCCACCATTACACAGTGCTGGCTGGCTGGCTGCTGATTGGCTAATGCGATCACATGTCATGAATGAATGCATTATGGGTCAGCGCGCCTTGTCTGCGCGCCTTCCCAGAGATCCCCGCTCCGTCGCCACACATGTCGCCGCCATTTTTGGGAAAATTCGATTCGTGCATCCGAAGTTTGCTAATTTTCGGATTCGGCGCGAATCGAATTTTTCCTGATATTCGAAACGAATTCCACTTCGCCATGTTCGATTCGCTCATCTCTAGTAATGACCATGTGGGGATTTGTAATGTGGTAGGATATTTCCTGTTTGTATATTGATTAAGAATAAATAAAGATTATATAAAAAATTACTTAAGGTTGGACTTGCCCTTTATTAGCAAAACACTATAAAAATTACGTATAACCCTCTCCAGTGGACTTGAGAACATTTATGAAAATTAGTAAACAGTTGTAGTTTTTTTCCTGTAGTAAAGAATGTATTTTACAGTTTATTTTGATGGCTTTAATTTGAACAGCAACTCAAATCAGTATCCGCTGAGTAAAATCACTGTTTTTCTTGGCTGGTCTAATGAGTTCCTCTGTTCTGCCAAAGCACCGTCAAAGAACACAAAGGATGACCCGACTTGTCAGCACACAGCTTACCACTCAGTTAGGACAGGACTGTTCCATACTTAAAATGCAGAAACATTGTAAGTAAAACAGCTGTGCTTACGTTAGATACAGCTTTACTTCTCTGCACATATTTATACAGTCAGGTCCATAAATATTGGGGCATCTACACAATTCTAACATTTCTGGCTCTATACACCACCACAATAGATTTGAAATGAAACGAATAACATGTGCTTTAACTGCAGACTGTCAGCTTTAATTTTAGGGTATTTACATCCAAATCAGGTGAACAGTGTAGGAATTACAACAGTTTGCATATGTGCCTCCCATTTGTTAAGGGACTAAAAGTAATGGGACAATTGGCTTCTCAGCTGTTCCATGGCCAGGTGTGTGTTATTTCCTCATTATCCCAATTACAATGAGCAGATAAAAGGTCCAGAGTTCATTTCAAGTGTGCTATTTGCATTTGGAATCTGTTGCTGTCAACTCTCAAGATGAGATCCAAAGAGCTTATACTTATATATCACAACACTTAAACTTATAATATCCCAGAAAAGTGATCTACCTTCACCCTTGAAGGCTAGTTAAACAATATATATGTGACTTTTCTATGAGCAAATACATCAAATCAAAAGATAAAACAAAAACTAATATAAAAAAATATAAAATTATATATATAAAAAAATATATTAATTATATATAAAAAAAATTATGTCCAAAAAACCCACCGTGTCCAAAAATAAAAATAAAATGATAAATAAAATTTCAAAAAGTCCCAAAAAATAATCCTCACAAGTGTAATACAAACACTCAAACTTTTTTTCTTCTTCTTTTATCACCAAAACCTTCTTAATACCCGCAACACTTGATATTCATGCACCTCAAAAAAAGAGAAAACTCGACATAGTGTCATACCTTAAATAATGTAAAACACACGTGCCACTCGCTGTGCAGCATGCAAAATACAATAAATGTGTATACTCTAACCCAGTGTCAAAACACATACAATTAAGTGAAATGACAATAAGAGTGAAAACACATTCACATAAGATATGCCATGCAATGTGTGAAAAACCACTCCACAGATAACACTGCCAGTGTATCACACCACACCCTATATATATATATAAGGTGGTAACCAAACCACCACTCTCCAACTCTAATATGGATGGGTAATTACCCTATAGCAGAGACAGCAGGGCAGATTAACCACTCTGGGTTACAATCTCCTCTCATTGATTTCCTCCAACGATTATGATTTCCTCCTCCACTTTCCTCCAGAAAACCAGTCACCATATAAAAAGTATTCTTCTTTATTAAAACTCACATAAATTTTGTGGTAACAGCTCCTCCTCACAAGCAGTATGGACATGGACAGGTTCAGGGAAACATAAACCGCATGTTCCCACTTCCAAGATGGCCGCGATCGCACTTCCGGTCAACGTCGATGCGTATGACGTCACGTGGCACTGACGCGTTTCGTCACTTCCTTTGACTTTTTCAGAAGACCCTTCTGAAAAAGTCAAAGGAAGTGACGAAACGCGTCAGGAACACGTGACGTCATACGCATCGACGTTGACCGGAAGTGCGATCGCGGCCATCTTGGAAGTGGGAACATGCGGTTTATGTTTCCCTGAACCTGTCCATGTCCATACTGCTTGTGAGGAGGAGCTGTTACCACAAAATTTATGTGAGTTTTAATAAAGAAGAATACTTTTTATATGGTGACTGGTTTTCTGGAGGAAAGTGGAGGAGGAAATCATAATCGTTGGAGGAAATCAATGAGAGGAGATTGTAACCCAGAGTGGTTAATCTGCCCTGCTGTCTCTGCTATAGGGTAATTACCCATCCATATTAGAGTTGGAGAGTGGTGGTTTGGTTACCACTTTATATATATATATAGGGTGTGGTGTGATACACTGGCAGTGTTATCTGTGGAGTGGTTTTTCACACATTGCATGGCATATCTTATGTGAATGTGTTTTCACTCTTATTGTCATTTCACTTAATTGTATGTGTTTTGACACTGGGTTAGAGTATACACATTTATTGTATTTTACATGCTGCACAG